CTCTAATAAACTCGCAAATTCGAGTAATAAAACGTTTCAGAAAGATGTAGTTCGACTACTGGGCTCCACCTAGTATTATATGATTTTTCAGAAGTTAACCCACACTTGATATTTGCAGCACAGACATGTCCCTAGCAAGCAGTGTGCAAAACTATCTTCCTACCTAGTACTGATTGTACTAGTTGCTATAATCTCACAGCACAATTTACTTCATCCAAGCACAAGGCTCAAAGGTCCAGCAAAACAAACCAGTACGATGTTTCCATGGCCAGGATCTCCGCGTGAAAGGAAAAGGGAATACCGTCCACCTCCACCTGTGTACTTTGTTTCTGCTCCAACCCCGCCGCTCCCAGTGGTGTATGCTGCACCCCCTCCACCGGTCGTGTACGAGATTTCTGCACCTCCACCTGTTGTGTACGAAGTTTCGGCTCCCCCTTCAGTAGTGTATGAGGTTCCGGCCCCACTCATATGTGAAGATACACCCCGTGACGACTACTGTGACTACTTGCCACGCCGCCACCACCATCATCACCACCGTGGTTGGTGATCAGATCCAACCTCACTGGTCGCTTTCCTACATGTGATTGTATACGGCTTACATTCTTCGAAGGCAAAAAATATAGCATTTGCAGAGGCTGTTAATGAACAATTAGCTTCACATTCGGCTGACCTTAGGGTATGCTATTTAAGACGGTTTTCATAACAATAAAATAGGTTTGAGTACTCTATTTGGTAAGTGTACGCCGGTTCCTGTCAGAAGTATTTCGATTTTTTAGACGTTCAGAGGCTCGATTTCCGGTAACAGGGGACCTTTCTGTAAGTAAAACTAAATCAAATTTGTATCACAGACTGACGACGATACCAATTTTGAGACAGTGCCTGCGCCATTGTGCTTGTACATGCATATCTTCAGTCGTTGTTGAATTCGCTCTCATATCCCAATCAACCGCGTTACTGCTTCATAATTATTAGCACTATTCAATTAATCCACTTCCTCGACACGCTTTGCTTGATAATTAAATATCCGACGATGCTTATGTGGAAGGCTACATCTCGCGAAACACAGTAGTGGCAGTTCAGGAGTTTCACCATGGCCACCATATCATAACAAGCACAGCAAAAAATTAGAGTGAAAGCCTCTCTATTTTCTTACCATCAAGATCCAGATTCAGATTACTTGAGTTTCTCTTTTTCTTTTAAAGTGTTGCATTGGTGAGCTACATTATGTACCTTTAATTGAGAAAAGAGCGTGAATTTAAGCATTACAAATAACTTGACTTCACTAAAGACATTTCTAAGTACGAAATAAGATTTTGCTCAAAGCAGACGGTTGTAAAGGACGTTTGAACCATGATTTTGAGCCGGCTTCAATTGGTTCGGAGCTCACAATAGCCTCATTTTGTCCTGTGTCTCACTTCGGGGATTATGTGTCATTCTACCTAAAAACTACTGTACAAGCACAAAAATCTCAAGATGTACCGCCCACCCTACTCACAAATGCGTTTTGTAAACTTTAGTTGAAATTTGCTATCTTCTTAGCACGCAAGACAGCCAGCACATCGCTGTTTGTGGCCACTGATATGGCTTTATCTAGCACGTTTAGAGACCATTCTGCTGACGCACATATCTCCTCGACGATTCCATGTCGGCCAGTCCGAGCTGCGCTTTCCAAAGCTTTTTCTTTGACAGATAGCGGGTAGCTGTATGTAAACAGTAACACCTTCACGACTTCGGCCCTTCCCACACAGACAGCTTTCTGGAACGCTTCTAGCGCGATCTCGGGAGATATGTCTGCCACCTTTGATAACGCCAATACAAAGTCGGCGCCCAAACAGTTCTCAGTGACTGTAATAAAAGAGTCATTAACCACAGTACGTGGAACCAGTCCTGTAGAAAGCAAGAATTTCAAGATGGCGACACGCTCGCTAGTGCCCATGAGAGTATAATGGCCATTCCCAGCTGCATTTCTGAACGCTGTCTCTACGGATTCAGCAGGGTCGTCCAGCTTATCGAACAAATAATTGGAGATAGCTAGCTTACTCGCATTCTCGAAGGCTTTTTTTGTTTGTCGATCCGAGATTCTGCTGTTCTGGACCAAAAATTCGACTGGACTGAATTTTCCATGCCGAGCAGCTATCAAGAGAGTTTCACCGATCCTGTCCTGTGTTACACGTTCTGTGTTAAGTATCATTCTCAGCACTTCCATTTGATCTGCACATACTGCATTATCCAAGGCGTAACCGAGCAGCTTGGTCTCCTTATGCCCTCGGCGATATAGAAATTCAATCGCATTAGCATACCCGTCGCCTGCAAGATTCACGAAGAAATCCTCAAATGGGGTCTCGTTGTCTTGCTTCGTGATAACGCCATAAATACAGTCCGCAACTTGCCCCATCCCGTAAATCAAGGCTTTCTCCAGTCCTTCACTAAGATCCAATATACGATAATATCGAGACACGAGAAAAATCGCTGCCTCGGACTGTTTACCACAAATGGCGAGGGACAGTGCAAAACCTATGCTGTTTATCGACAGTTCAACATCCGCAGTGTCGGCAGTGTCAGCAGTGTCAGCTGCGATTAAAAGAATATCCAAGTAACCTCTCGCTGCAGCAATCCCAACGACAGTCCGTGCCATTTGACGACATTCATCAGCACTGTCCACCAGAGATAATAAGAAACGCACAACATCGCAACTTCTGCTTTTTGCGGCAGTATGAATTGCTATTCTGCATACGTCCCACGCCCCGCCCTTCAGCTCGTTCGAGTCAAACATGTGTGGCGTCAATAGCTCCAAGCTCCCGATATCCTCGAGTCTAGCAGCGAGTAATACTGCGTCCAATACGTGGGAATCATATCGATCGACTAAAGATTTTAGCCAATCGAGTTGGTTAGTCGAAGCGGCTTCCACCATGGCCTCCTCTGGTGGCAGTAGAAAGTTCTCGATTTCATTCAACACATGCGGTAAAGAGCGGAGGTTTGATGGGAAATTTGTGTCCCGGAATGTCTTGTACCGAGTCCGACACGCTCCCAGTCTGGGCTTCTTTCTCTCCGATTTATTGGATCGTGTGTCTGTTGACGGACGCTTCATACGGGAAAATGAAAAGTGCTGTATCTCGTCAATAACTGTAAACAAGACCCAATCAATCAATCAATTCTAATACACAATAACAACGAATCATATTGGATGGGTGATTTCAATACAAAAAAAAACAAAAGGCTCACGAAAGCGATTAAAATGGATATAGTCAGGGGCCAAAGAATATCCGCGTCCTGCTGAAATGCTTTCAGTTTTATCCTAAACAGCGCGGGGAATATGGTCCAAATGCCAAGGAAGAAACGAGAAGCTATTGCTCTTTTTCAAAGAGAGTTGTGTTCCGGGTGAGGCTACCTTTGCGATGACCATGTACGATATGCTTTCCATGGGGATGCCTGTACGGTCATTCATTGATATCGCTGGATGTGGAGTGTCAGCAACGTAACAAGTTGCCGGTTGTGGTCACGTTTACATCGTCAAGTGACGGAGGATACTGTAGCGTATCAAGGAAGAAGCTTTACTAAGTGATACTCGGAATAATCGCGGACTGATTACGACAGGCACGCTTAGGGTAAAACACTCAAGACATATTTGAGTGAACAGTGAAAACTTGATCATGACCCGATAGAAACGTTTTCTAAAGGCTCTAGTCCAGCAGTGGTCATTTAGCATGTACATGAAGTTTTACGTGTGGCGCCTGAATTATGCTCGAAACTACGCTGGAAACATCGTGGCAAGAAAATTACTCGACGTAAGTCGCAAAAAAAAAAAACGCGCGCTAACATCTTTCAGCGCAGCAGCGATCGACGCCGCTGGTATCTTCTTAAAGGCTCAGTCGCCACCAGACTCCCATACATCTCGAGCGCTCGACGTATCTCTTTAGGAAAAGCAAGCTGCTTGTTGTGGAGAGAAGTACATGCAGTGATCGATGCTGAGGCTGTAATACTCTTTTAATCCCTTCCTTTGGCACTTGGCCGTAGCCAGTAGAAGCCCATAAAGCTCATTACGTCGATCAACAGTCGCATTAACACAGGTGGTTTGTATCAACTCCTCGTTACAGTAGCCTCGCTCATACTACATGTAGTTGTACATGTACTTGATCGCAAAAGTGAATCCATTTCGACACATAGGTTCTTCCAAACGAAATATAACGAGCTAAACCTGTTGAGCAACTCTGTGTTGTTCCCTTTCGACCACTTTTTTTTTATGAGCCAGTATGTCAACATGATTGCCAGCTATCGCGAGTGTACTATTACTACTTCGCTATTCAGCTTCTTCGATTCGGATAACATACCTTACTACGCCCCAGCTAACCGATAGAAGAAGCTTCGTCCAGTACTTTTCACGCTGTATTTCCATTCACTTTAAGGAGAGACTAACGATATCGCGACGGTCCTAGCAACATGCATCGTAGCCTTCTTGAGGGTTTTGTACTTGTTTCAGCTTACTCGTAAAAATACCTTGGGAAGGAAGAGTCGCTCAGGAGTGGGCGGCTTAGCGCTAGCAACCCCAGGCCAACAGGAAGAAGAAGGCGAAGGAACTAAGGAATCGCAACCGGAATGGCGAGACCAGGTACAGGGGCGCAAGGCCCCGGCCCTCCGGACACAGGTCAGCTATCCCCGGATCCCCAGAGGTAGAAGACAGACCAACATGGCTAGACGACGACGGATCCGAGCTTAAAGGATGCCCAACATGCAAACGAGGAGGAACCAATCGGACAGCTGACGGGGCGACCTTTGGGGGAAAAACTTGAAACGGATTCAGAATATAGCTCCTCACCCCTACCTGGACCAGCTACATAGCTCCTCACCCCTACCTGGACCAGCTACATAGCTCCTCACCCCTACCTGGACCAGCTACAGAGGCGGTGGATCCACCACCGAAGGTTGTCTTGTGGAGCGACAAAGTAAAGGCAAACCCACCTTCTGAGGCGAGGATCACTGAAGACGCGGCCCGCAAATCACACATGCTACGCGGAGTCTGGAACCCTGTCCAAATCAAACAACTGATGACCACTATCATGAATGACTGGACCAAGTGTGCCAAGCACACTTGGACAGAAGACGAGGAGAAGATGCGCGCGGAAGCAGAATCCCCTGCGACTGCCCGTAGAGACGACGCCATCAGGGCTTGGACGCAAAGGGAGCATGCTATTTTCATTAAATATTTGAGTGGCGATTTGGACTTGCAGCACCCACCGAATTTCATCAAGGAGATCCTGGCTAGTGAACATCAGGCCATGGTCGAAGACATGCACGAGACTTACTTTAATGTAACCCTCACCGCTATTGCACCGGCATCCGTGAGATTGTCCGTGCACACCCCACATGTGACCTTTCTCAAAGAAATTTTCAACGCTAACACAGACGACCATACCGGACACGCAATGATGAGAGTATTTCAACAGGATGTCAAGCGCCTCAGTTTTGACGGCAATCAAACGCTTCACGCAGTTTTGTATTCAAAACGAGCGTCAGCGCGTTGGCAGAACAAGACGTTAAAATTGAAAGCAGCGGTGATCACACTAAGAGACACGGAACGCCTCCCAGAAGAGTAAGGAGTAGGAGTATACACCAATGCCCAATTGGAATTGCAGTACGTTGTCCGGGTGTATGGAGGTATCTCATTGGGTTTAGCCACTCTTTCACGGGTCTTCGCCAGCTTCTCAGGCGCACAAATACTGGATGCGGAATATGCCCGAAAGACACGCACCGAGATATATGACAACAGGTATGTTACAATCCGGTTTGCACAGCGCCACTGCCCAACAGAGCTAAAAGGAATATCCAGGATCTTGTTAGACACGGTAGAATTGACAATTCACCACTTCCAGCAGCACTTACGGCGTCCATGCACGAAGTGCCTCAATCCGTGGCATGGGGCAAGTAGGTGCCGCACCAAACCGGAAAATGTCGAAGCTGTCCAAAGCAAAACTACCAGGAAATTTACTGAGCCAGTTGTCCAAGTACCGGCGGCCACCAAGATTGAGTTTGCGGTTAAAACTATTGATGATCTCGTCATGATGCTGACATCACATCAACCACCAAAAACGCCATCAACCCCTCTCCAGCATATTGAGACCGATCACCAAGCAATCGCTCAGCGTTTAGGAGTAACAGGGGACCGGGCACCCCCTGCTACACCTAGAGTGGAATCGACTCATGCATCGGAGCCTGTACCCGGAGAGGACGAGGGAGCCTTCATACTAAAACAAAAGAAAACACGGAAAGTTACGAAAGTGATGCAGGACAGTTCACCCGACGGGGCAACACCAATGAATGCTACCCATGAAATCGGGCACGAGGGTAACGTAACACGGCGGACCGGTGAAGCAAGAATGGCCCCACAAAACACCGATAATCGTTTCGAACAATTTCAACAACATGAAGCTATGGGTATGTTCAGTGTACTCGCAGACTCGGACAGTGAGGCGGACGAGGGTGTGAATGCCATGCAAGTTGACGAGGATGGCCTGGACCAATCGTGTCCACTTACACCGGAGCAGGAGGAGGCTCCATATGCGTACCCACAGGAGGAGGACGAAGAAACAAAAGACGATAGGGTGCCCGGCTTCGAGGAAGAGGAGCAAGCACAGACTATTGTACAGCGGACTGGGAGTGTCGACGATGTTGCCATGACTCAGGTGACGGACGATGAGGACGGAACAGCTGAACACCGCACGACACCAGCAGAAGAAAACGCAGGCACTGAGGAGGACATCAAGCCCTCGAAGGCACTGGAAGCCCAATCAGCGACTGCTGTGGTCCGAGTGGCAAGAAAAGCGAAGCAACAACTTGGTAAGGTGGGGCTCCAAGCCGGCGCCATAAAAGGCATGCAGGCAAACATGGCGACTTACATCCAAAATAAAAGACCTTCGAAGTAAGGGCTACCACTGCAGAGTATCCTGCTCCACCTCGAATTAAGGCCGCTGCACCTGCATCCCTGACTGAGGAGGTGGTCCCAGCAACCCCGGATTCTCAGGAAAAAATGACCATGGGCCCGACTCGGACTGGCACGGACGCTGGGGATTCAGACCTTCCTATCCAAGTCGGTCAATGGTTGGCCAGCTTTGACGGTACAATGGTTGAAGTGGAGGCGAATGGGCAGTGCGCCTTCCTGGCTCTGTACGCTTCTACAGTGAACCATCCTGCAGCAAAGCTCAAGACTACCAAAGCAGTAGTGCGCGAGGCTACCTCACTTAATGATTCCTTCTATGCCTTAATGATGTCCAATATTCGGAAAGATGTTGCGCTGGGGTTAGTGGACCCGATCGCGGAGTACGCTAAACTCTACCCGGATCATCCGGCTTACACGTCCACTGAGGCGGCGACAGCAGCCCTTTACGGGCACTACAACCAAGCACGGACGCGGTCGACAGGGGTCAAAGTACCCGCTAGTTTCTGGGCGGGACCGCATGAACTCCGGGCTATGTCCCAGTCGGGAGCCGATAGTAGTGTTTGACACGAATGCCTCTTTAGACGCTCATGTCCAACGTTATTCCTACAAAACCCACCGACTTGCCGATAACACCGATCACGAGACTGGTCATGTCGAGCCGCTTCCCGACAGGACTGCTAGGGATTATCTCTATGCCTGCTGGTCGCTCCATGTGCTGCCATTTTTCTTGGTACTTCGCCACGATCAAAGTCATTTATACGGTGTCAGTAACGGTGAGCTCTTCCTGAAGTGGAGAGCAGAAGGTGACGAGTCCTTCGCGAAGGATCTACCTGACTCCTATAGGTGGAAGGAAGACATCAACTCCCTAACGGACACGGAACGCTCAGTGGACTTGACCACGATTAACCATCTTGCCGACGTCACCGAGGTGAATAAGTTGCTCATTAAACGATTGGAAATGCGGGCACGTCTAGATTTCGTCCATGCAAGACAGGGACTGGCGATCCTTAATGCCGACCCGTTACCTTCTGACTTGAAGGATGTTCTACATATAGAGGAACAACACATTCACGAAGCCTACGGCATGGACACATATGCAGCTTCGTCCCAAGAGGACCAAAGCGGGGGCCATCAGGGTAGCAGTCTTCCACAGCGATACGCCAAGGCTGCCTCCGGGGACATCATTGCCAACACCTACTTTCGTATTCTCCGACAATCAAATTCGGTAGCGAAGGAGGAGGTGGATGGTCCTCTAGAAGATTTAATCGCCTTGTCCAACCAAGAAGCATTCATCAAATGGCGTGATCTTTTCAAGGAGGAACTGTCCTTGCCAAAGATGAAACGAAGGAAGGTCACCTCCGCCGACATTCAAGAATGGCTTCTCGCTCACCTTGAAGCGCTCCGGCATTTCTTCGCCTTCATATCCTTTCCCGAGTACGAAGCGAAAACCAGGTGGTCACAAGACCACCTTCTGCAGTGGGGAGTTATGGAAACGTACGTTGAACAAGTTGCAGCTCTCAATAGATTGGCAAACGATGATAGTATTGATGATTCGACTCGAGAGTTCTGCACCAAATGGCATGCAGAGTGCACAAACCAGGCCACCAAACAGTCCCAAAGGAGACAAGCAGCGAATGATCCTGACAAATGGGGACAACTTGCATAACGTATCCCCAGCAGATATTGCAGGGCGCAACCAACACACATCAGTACCGAAGCATGGCACATACTACACATCCTGCCACACGTGGTGTGCGACTGGGCAGATACACCAATGGTCGGGCTCCCCTCGGTGCCCGGTCAACATGGTACGAAGAATTTCCATTCGTCCGCCAACTATGTCATGGAGTTGTAGAATTCCAGGACTGGAGCGCAGCCTCCTTGGCTCCAACAGGACACACGTGGGAGGAGCGTCGAGATCGTTCTCTTGGCGACTCTCACCCCACCTATCGCAATTAACGGCACTTCAGTGCCGGATTTCTCGACTCAGGGGGACCAGACTGAGTCGAGGACACGGTTCGAACTAGAACCAAATCTGCCAAATGCGAGGCCATCCAAGATCCAAGAATCGAGAGAGGAGCGCACTCGATCTTCAACGAACTTGGAAAGCTCGCAGCACGATATGATAACTGACATCAACATTAGACCCGTGACAGGAGGACCAAAACAGGGAGATCTACGCAATATGATACCGGTGCTCGCAACAGACAGATTTGCCGCGCCGGAACAACAATTTGCAGAAGACAAGAAACAACGAACACAAAGGCAACTGAAGGCCCGTAAAGAGGCCGTCAGAAGTGAGCGAATAGTTGAGTCTAAACTACACCAGCTGGAACAGACATTTGGGCTGACAACACAACATGTAAATGGATTGGGGGCAAACGAAGTGGAACGTGTGAACTGGTTCAAGGCTTTTGGGAACGCAGATGAACATGGAAACACCGACATCCTCATACTACAGGAGACTCATGTGGCAGCAGCTGAGGTGGGAGAATACACAAGACTCTTTGCCAGTCGCTGGGGGTTCAGAACGGGACATGATCAACCGGACTATTCTTACTGGAGCCCTACGGCAGACCGAAGGGGTGGGGTGGCCATCCTCGCTAACCCGTACGGAGCTTTTAAGGCGATGACACCTTACGTACAGGAAAAATGGACTCAACACTTTATGGCTGTGCATGGCACACTAGATTGCACTCCTGCTTACGTATGCAATATATATGCTCCTCACGCACCTGCACAGAGAGAACGATTTTACGCGAGCCTACAGGCAATCAGCTTCCCCAAGGGAGCGCTCTTGTTTGTCGGTGGCGATTTCAACTGCACACTTGATGTTCAGGCAGACCGCAGTTACCAGACTGGTGCTCAAGTACACGACTCACATGCCCTGAGGGTCCTCCTAGAGATGTGGACACTAGTGGACCCGATCGCAGTGGCACGACCAGCAGAATGGACGCCAAGTACTCTTCAACGACATCACTTTGAGACCCACACATATCATTACATGGTCCCGGGGCGAGGAGAAGCCTCGTCACGGTTAGACAGGTGGTACACGTCCCCCACTACGTTGGCGTGGGTGGCGGCGTGGAACACAGTACAACTTGGCGCGAAGACGGATCATCTTGGATCAAAAATTCACGTCAGGTCTCCTGACGACCCCATCCGGATACGAAGGTCATCGGGGGTACACCCAGCGCCAAAGTACGCGACAGCAGCCGTAAGCGCCGTCGCCACGCAGCTTTTGGACTGTTTCTCCGAACAAATGCAGGCGGAGCAGTGCTCGGCGGAGAAGGCGGTTAGGATGTGGGAGGCGCTGAAGACGGAGGTGGCGCGCAGAATTCGGATTGCCATAAGAGAGCGCAAACGCGCCAAAAAGCGCACGCTTAAACAAAAACTGATGAGGTTAGTCAAACAACAAAGGAGAGTTCAAGAGGAGAATGAGGGTATGTGCCCTTCGGTAGACACTATCACTGATCTATTAGACGGGCTGACGTTGGACAACTCAGTTGAGCCAACCAGAGAGGCACGGCTTAGACGGGCAATCGCGGAGTGTAAACAAGCACGGAACGAATTTGGGCAGCGGAAACTTTTTCAGGATGCTACACACTGGACAAGGAAAACAACCAAATCCTTCTTCAAAAAGATCTCCAACAAATACACCGACAACATCATACACAGATTAGATCCGGTGCCAGGAGCCCCTGACCGAGAAGTTCATGACAAAGCGGATACCATGGCGGATGCGTGGACGCTAATCTTGCAGCAAGCTCCCAGTATACCGCACCACATCTGCGCAGTCGAACAATGGATACCACAGGCTCAAGCACCCACTGAGGCTCAACTAACAGTGGCTGCGACAATTACGGAGGAAGAAGTACGAGCCGCACTGCGAAAATGCGAACGAGGCAAGGCCGCAGGACCTGACCGACTGGGGAATGGTTGGTACCGTGACTTTGAAGACAAGCTTGCCCCTATCCTTACCGAGCTCTTCAACCTATGGTATGACAGTGGAGTTTTTCCATCTACTTTCCTGAATGCGGACATTTTCTGCCTTAAGAAGGGTGGATCGTCAAGCAATGCACTCAACTTTCGCCCCATTGCACTGTTAAACACAGACTATAAACGCTTCATGAAGATCCTAGCAGCTCGAGTCGGGATCACATTGCCAGATCACATTCATCCCAACCAGAATGGCTTCGTCTCGGGCCGCACTATACATGACACAATTGACCTATACGACGTAGCACAGCACATGGTACTGACTGATTCAACACAGAGAGAAGTGACAGCTCTCCTACTCGACATCAAAAAGGCATATGACTCCTTGGATAGAGCATTCATGCTCTCCATCCTACGACGGAAAGGTTAACCGGAGAAATTCGTCAAGGCGATTGCAAACACACATCACGGGACCCGAGTACGGTTTTTAGTTAACGGAACCAAGTCTCGAGATATACTCGTCACCAGTGGGATCCGCCAAGGCTGTCCGCTGGCACCGATGTTATTTATCCTAGCGCTGGATCCACTATATCGTAAGATTGACGGATTCATGGGCCCACGTGGAGTGATTGTGCACTCAGAGGCAGGCCGATTCGAACTCAGGGTAGTTGGTTACGCTGATGATACAGCAGCGTTTGTCGGAAATCCTGCAGAGATACCTGGGCTGATCCGAGTGGTGGAGCTCTTTGGACACGCATCGAGCCTACGGATCAACACAGAGAAGACGGTCGCGATAGCCCTCCACCCACATGGCGCGACGCCGAGCATGACCCTACCGCCTCCGCTTCAGTACCATCCTGTGGACGCGAGTTGCAGATACTTAGGACTTCAAGTTGGCAGCAAAATTGACTCTCATCGTTCATGGACAAAAGCAGTGCAACAACTGACGACCCGACTCAGACTCGCATGTCAAAAGCTCTTGACAATCGATCACCGCAGTCTAGTTGCAAGCGCGGTAATCATTCCGAAGATGCTGTATGTTGCACGGCATGCCTGGCCCACTCCAGCCATTGTGAACGAGATGGCGTGCAGAATAAAAAACTACGTATGGCATGGGCAATTCACGGCAGAGAAACCAGCTGCGCGAGCGTGGTTGCACGCCGACTTGGCAGCTCTGCCAAGACACTTTGGAGGCTTTGCCCTTCCGGACCTCAGAACAGAACTTCTGGCGCTAGCAGCTACCGCACTTAGTCAGTGGGCAAGCAACGGCACTAGACAGGCCCACATCCGGTGCGACGTACTCTTCCACAACCACAAGGAGGGACGAGCTTCGAAGATGTACATAACTCCAGGGTACACTGATCCGACACCAGGTCAGACTAAATTACTCTCTACGCTGTGGGCTACTGGAAAGGCTCTCATCAGCGTTGCTGGGGCAGCCAAACTCTTGACAACTATGAGGACGATCACAAAAAAGGTGGTGACAGCAACTCACGCCAACAGCTTTACATGCTCGTGGGAGAGCAACTCAATGCAGATGGACTGCTCGAATTTCCTATAGGATACTACGGGGACACGGGCAAGTGCAGCATGGAGGAAGTCGCCGCAGCCAAATTTGGAATGGCTGCCTTACGTAGATCCAACTACGGAAAAACTATATGCACAAGACGGATCCTGGTCAACACTTGCAATGGCTGCCTCACTATCTGGAAGGAACATTACCCGTTTACACGACGTTGTGCACTGGGAGAAGAGATCAAAGGGGGTCATGAGATTCGACTTCTCCAATTCACTCACGGGTCCGACTAAGCGACGACCAGCTGAACGTCTCGCACAGATACTGGTTACCAACTTCCCAGCAATGGCTTTAGCCCCAGCACACAACCATGAAGTGAGATTCTCGGCCTCCCCCGCAGATCACCCGCTCACAGTAATGCTGCGGGGCGACGAGCGGGTTGAGGCATTGTTGCAAATGGATACACAGGGCCCTTCTCGGGGTCAGGAGGTGGACAGTCAATCAGCGCTAACCAGACTCATTACCAAGGAGATGAATACGTCTGCCATAATCCACCATGTATGGCCACACCCAAAATTGAGCCGCTACACATGCCTGTGGGCTGGCGGGCGGCGATGGACACGCACGCGACAGGAATTCAAACAGCGCATCAGACATTTCGCCCACAAACGGGGAACTACTAAGGCTGCTTTACGCAGGACAAAATGGACCGCAGTGAGCGGCACTGCGGCAGCTGCACTGGATGACCTGGAATGGAAGACAATTCGTCGAGTCGTGGGGCTTGGGCCGTGGGGAGAGCAACTACTGCTAAATCTCAAATGGTACACCCTCTCGCTCTACGATGTACTACATCAAAAGGTTGGGTGTCCTCATAGTGCCTGCGTTCATCTGGCCGACACGGACCTGTATCACGTTTTCTGGGAATGTCCAGCAGCGAGGACACTGAGAAAACTTCTGACGCGGACCTGGCTCACTCTAGGAATCAAGACCTCGGCAATCGAACACGCGATCTTCAGCATGGAACTGCCACAGACGCCAGCAGGGGCATGGAGAGCAGCAGACAACATGTATGACCAGCGAACCACGCAGTCCAACCACTTTATGGAAGCGGTCACGATGCTGGCCGAGAGATGTTGGAAACTAGGAACAGCAATACTGCTACAACGGACATGGCGATGGCGTGTCAACCACTTCGACCCTCTGACAAAGGTGTCAGAGCAATGTCAAATCGCAGCTTTCAAATCGGCGCTGCGGCAGGAATATAACACGGTGTTTGCACACACAGCGGCACAGCTTCACCCCAAGTTTGGTCCCCTTGCGATCCATCTAATGCGGCGCGTGCTGATGTCGGAGCCGATGGTAGACTATCACCTGTTCACTGACAGCGGACCGACGAAGTATCTTCTATTCTTCGACGGGGGGTCCCGGGACAACCCGGGGCCCGGAGGAAGCGGAGCAGTCGTTATCCGTACAGCAGATGCCACCATCCAAGCCCAGCTATGCTGGATCGGCACAATGTCGTACGCCAACCCGCGGTTTACCAACAACATGGGAGAACATCTCGGTCTACTTTGCGGTCTCAAGGCCTGTGATAAGCACCACTTTGAACCGCTTCATGTCATCGGAGATAGCGCGATGATCATAAGACAACTGAAATACGAAAAAACTCTAAAGCCAAACACCTTAAGGGGTACTACTGGCAGAGCACGAGACTCGCAGATAGACTTGAAGTGGTGGCATGGCACCACCACCTGCGGGAGTTTGACAGGATGGCCGACACACTGGCCAATATGGCAATGGATTCTACAAGAAGCACACAAGTTTTGCTGTCGGAGGACACTTCGGCAACAGTACGCTGGGAGAAAGTACTTAAGCATCTATCTGGAGACGTAATGCATTGGCAGGAGACGTCACACACTCAGCCGCGTGGCGGAGGCATCGCGACCCCCATCTAGGGAAGACGGAAGGAGAGGGTCAGTCACTGGACTGACCGCAAGCATTTACAACGTCCATTGACATTAGAGCGGTGACGTTCCACGGATATAGGAAGTCGTTAGTCCAGGCTAAGTGACATCAATACTACTCATTCCAATACATACTTGTTTCAGCTGAACTAGTCGCGACTGGATACTTAAATACTTCATTTTGCGCGAAAGTGCTACCGTATTCATTCATAACCACGTTGGAAGAGGTCATTTGGGTGCGGTGGTGTTTTCGTGAAGTCGCTGGTTCATGTTGTCTTAGGTCCGCCCCTGGCTTGTCTACACTTATCTTCACATGCGGCAGTGTACACGGTGTGACTACAGGGTTGGAAACCTCCAATCTTCGGTGGTTCTTGACAGTCGAATGCATTGCGCACAAGCGCTGCGCTTGTAATTTATTTTGAGTCACAGACTTTTCAGAAGCTCCACGGGCTATTTTGCTAATGGCATTTAAATTTAGCACCCTAAACCCACCCAGATGATAAGTATTATACTTGAAGGTAATTCTCAAAAGGAACCATGAAGCAGACGTGAACAGGACAGCCATCCCTAGCTGCCAGTAGCGCGGAGTACAAGAGGCTCAAGGCGGAGCGTCACTATGTCGTGTCGCTTCCACACGTAAGCGGCGGGGTCAACGTGGCTCAGAATTGAAGACGCTGTTTCCATACAAAATATCCGAGTTAGCTCAGAGATGTTGATGACACCGGAGGAGGCTGTGATTAAGGCTGCGGCAACAACCAGCTACTATGGATCGACAGTCTGTTAGATACGTTTGATGTGGACTTGACCGACGCAATTTCGAGTGCGTCGGCCAATGGACACGTGGACATGATGCACCGTTTAGTACGCGAAATTGGCGAACGTGCTGCGAACGACGGAGACGACAGCGATGGATTCTCTGATGACAGCGACGAATCCTCCGATAGCTACGAATCTTCTTATGACAGCGACGACTCTAGTGAGACTGACAATGGTAGAATCAGCTCCTCCGAGGACAGTGACGACGATAGTGTATTTGATATATTTTCTGACGACCTCCTCGACATGATGCAGCAGCTTTTACAGCCGATTGGAGAAGACAATGATAGTGACGATGGCGATTTTTCTAGTGAGAGCGACGACTTCTCCGATGATAGCGACGAAGACAGTGAGGACGATGATGTGGAGGAGCGCATGTCAAAACCCGTCGAGCGCTACAGAATGCAGTGCAAACAGCAGCGCAGCATGGGCAACTTACTATGGTGTCTTTGTTCCTCCCGCAGATTGTCGGTGCAAGCGACGATGGAGAAGCACGTCGTGATATGCACGACACCACGTGGAAAGTCCTCAATGAAGCAGCCGCGTATGGACGTTTCGACGTGGTTCAATTTGCGGTGAACTATGCAACGGAGTGCGGATACATCAAGTTGTATGCTGCCAGTGGTGAGGCTGACACTTTGACACGAGCAATTGCAGGTCACCACGATGCTGTGGCGACATATCTCCTTGGAATGCGCAACATTCAATGGGACTTGGACCGTGCGTCTGACAAGGCCATTAAGAGCCAACGACCAGAATTAGTCAATCTGATAATCCACGCTCAGAGAGGGAGATTTACATTCAATGCTGATCGACAGGACTGCAATCTTGATCTAGCTTTAGGAAGCTGTTTCGTGAAAATATTTTATACTTAGCACTTGGATTATTTAAGAAATCATTGGGGGTAAGAAGGACTTCTAATTATTTTCTTTATTTTCTAAAGTCAGTGAAGGAGTTCTTAAGTAACGACAACAGCTGCGACGACATTTTTCATCACGATTGGTTGTGCTGCGAAATAATGTAGCCAGCTCTACTACACAAACGAGTTACCAACGTCCTTCTTACGCTCGGTAAATCTTATGTTGCCCTTGCACAACTGTCAGCACATCAGTCTTCGTGGTCGCTGATTTGGCTTTACCTAGCACGTCTAGAGACCAATTGTCCGACGCCCAAATCTCCTCGACAGCTCCACACAGGTCAATCCGAGTCGCGGTTATCACAACTTTTTCCTTGACAGAATAGCTCAACACAGTTTTTCGACAAAAACCAGCTTCAGAAATGTGGCCCTTCCTACACTGTTTGCTTTTTGGAGGATTTATGTGCGATCTCAGGAGAAATACTTACTTCGTGGTATAAAGCTTGCACAACATCTTACACGTTTTTTAGGGCGATGAAAATGTCACGAGCCAAAAATGTGCCCGTACAACGTAATAATTTTACGGTGACGACAGGCTCTCCATCACTTATGTGAGTGCTACGACCGCACCCAAGTGCGTTTTGAGCGCTAATACTACGGACTCAGTCGGTCCACCTAGCTTCTTGTTCAGAAACTCTGAAACATCGAACCTTCCCGTTTAATTCCTTGAGTGAAGACTTGCCAGTCAATAGCTGGAAAATGTCTTACTAACTGTAATCTATATACCGCGTGCTCGCAGCTACTCTCTCGCTGTGGCGTCCAGCCGGTTGAACACCGACTCTACTATACTTCCTTCGCTTTCTCTCTCGCTCTCCCCCCACCTGTTTGGGACGTTAGGATGCCTTCAGACATCTGGTTTCGCATAGTATCTCTCCAGTTTACTTGGTCTCCGGTTAGGTGATCCATCACTAATGACCATCGTTGGCTGTGCGCCGTTTGCTCTCCTGCGTGCTGTGATTCGTGTCCATTGCCATATTGGCTGGGCAGTGCGCCATTTTGTAAAAGCTCCGGAGGTGGTGATACCAAGCAACCACCTGGAGTTTACTTGCTAGTCTACGACTCCTCCAGTAGTAGTCTTGGAGGTGCTTAGCTTTCGGTGGCGTTCTTTGCTGATGTTGTCTTATGATCATCGCATATCGCCAATGACTTGAAATGATGTTTATCGCAGGCTGTGAGTTCGTGGAGCAGTCCTAGGTTCTCCGCCATGTTGTTGGTGTCCGACCTGCATGGGTAAGACATCGAGCTGATCCAGCACACTTGTGCTTCTACCACCGATGTAGCCGCACGTAGTACAATGGCACCAGTACGTCTGGGATCTGGATTACCCCGTGATCCTCCGTTGAAGTAGAGCAAATACATTCCTGGCTCTCCGTGTGACGTTAGTGGGTGATCGATGTCAACTTCGTGAATTAACAGTCTCCGTAGCACGTCTTTCGCTATTAGGCCATACTGGTGATGCAGTTGTTGTGTCATGTGGGCATAGACCGTTGAATATCCATTCTTCAACGCCGACTTGATAGAGGATACACGATATCGCTTTGAAAAATTGTTGAGGTCATCAAAGTGACTCATCCTCCATCTCCAGACAGCGTGGAAGTATGCTGCAGCCCCAATCCTCCCACAGGTCTCAGCGAGCTTCGACGCCTCCTCAATGAAAACACTTAAGCTTGTGATCATCGCCATACATATCATCTGCCATTCTCCATACTGCATCAGGAACTTGGGGTAGTTTTAAGCCGAACATGGCAAATTCAATGTCTTCGGGGTTTATGCCCCCTTGGAGCCATGAATTCGTCATTATCTTTCGCAATTCTTGCGCCGCTGGGCATCGCCGAAAAACGTAGAATAGATCCACGTCAACCTTGTAGACGCAATCCTCGTGTTGGCATCCAGTTTTTTGGTTCGTCACATCATAGAGTGAGAAAACATTCAATTTGACGCGAAGCATAAGTTATTCCCCCGTGGCCCCATCCCAATAACGCGGCGAATGGTTGTCCTATCTAGTGCGGCTAGTCCAGATGTCGTAGTAGTACTGCTGGCATCACATTTTGCCGCTCTTGCGTCCGGTTTGCTTTGCCCTCGTTGGGTCGATGCGTGTCGTAGTCTCCGTTTATACTCCCGACGAGCTCATCACCATCGGCGATTTCTGGCCCATAGACAATAAACCAGCTGCGTCTTGAATGCGGGCGCACGTGGAGCACCGTTGCTTCTGGGAAAGTTTCTGCTACCAATAGTCTTCGGAGCATTAGAGGTCTGTCCACCGGTTTCCGTTTCGACGGGCCGCTGCAGTCTGACTGAAGCAGATCTTTCACCTTGTCACCGCTGCAGATCGTAATTGACTACTGTCCTTTTCAGCGTACAGACAACGACGGTGAAATCCGCCCGGTGTCTGAACACTATCCTTCATATAAAATAAAAGTATTACGCGCGACAGGAATACCCGCCGATAAATTTGATTGGTTGAAAGTGGTAATGTCAGCTGAAAGTCTGAGCGCAAATTACAAAAACGATACCCAAAGGTACAAAAACGATTCAAGAATCAACAAATACTGATTTGAATGTACAGAAACGACCGAATACGGGAAACGGATTGGTTGAAACTGTTTCCTTAGTGGGGAAACCATGTTTTGGGCCGGGCGTGTTTCAAACGTATGGCAGATTTCACCGTCGTTGTACTCATTGAGATAGCATGACGACCTGCCTCGAGAGGTGCCGCCGCAACGAAATTACCATATGCCTTTCTTTAGTCTTTCTGTCCACACTTTGGGTCACAAACCAATACGCTTACCCTTAGTAAGGGGCGAAATACCGGTAAAAAAAATAATTTTGGATCGTATACGGCTCTGATCAGGTTGACGATCAGGCCCGTAGATCTGAAGTGTGGACTGATCACTTTGTCATTGGAAGAAATGATTTGTGTAGGAAGAAGCTGAATGCATTGGATGAATGCATTGTGCTAGTAACTACCTTGCGTGGCCAACGTGGATTCTGAACAACGTAGGGAAGAAGTTAAGTGCTTTGGAGGGTTGTGTTACTATATACCTGGTACGATCTAAGTGAAGACTGGAGTTGAATCCGAGGTGCGCAGAGCAAGCGCCGTAGCTTCGTCCACGACGCTGTCGATGTCGGAAGGAATATTGATGAGCTCCGGGAGCTGGATCCGCTCGCGAGGAACTCTGCGGGCACGGGCGTGGGGCACGTCGCCCATTCGGTGAACGTACTCGGCTGCTATCGTCTTGATGACGGTCACAAATGTGGCCATCGAAGGGTGCGGAGTAGGAAACCTACTGTCTAGCTCTCTATTGAAACGCTCGAACAGGTTGTTGGTCCTCGCAACGAGCTCGTTATCGAGACAGAACACGTTCCACACGTCAACCGTGTACTTCTCGAGCCTCGTCCGCTCGAAATAGCGCAATATATTTCCCATTTTGCTGTAAAGTACTCAGTTCTAGACAAAATGCAGCGCTTATTGATCTCACCCACTTGATGTCTCTTTCTTCTTGTTCACGGTTAATTACAGTCAGCGTGTCTAGCATGCCGCGAGTCATTGCAATCAGACACTTTTCATCCGTTATCGCATAGCGTTTCATTGCACGACGGAGTGTCTGTTTGATGTGGAACAATCACAATAGCGTTTGAGAACTGAATCTGGAGGGCATTCATTAGCGCGGCTTTGAAGACGCGAACAATCTCCGCCGGATCGAGCTGCTGATCTGTCGCTTGGACAACAAAGTGGACCATGTTCCAATTCGCGTCTTCCTTATTTGCAGTGCTCAACACGTAAACTACTGGCACATAAACACCCGAAGCGCGATCGTGCACCATGAAAATGACGCTTTGTGCGTACCTCTAGGGTACACAACGACATGTACCGACAAATTGGGTCGTTCCTTGGTAGCGTAGCAGAGCTACCAGTACAGGGTAAGCCCAGCCCAAAAGGCGCGTAGGTTTAGTCACGTCCTCACGGTTCGCCGTCGCACAGTGGAACTGGAAGAATGACACTTCCTTGTCGAGGCCAAGAGAGAGTGTTGGGATCTAAATGGATCCGTACGTTACCGGAGCTGTCATAATTCCTCACATGGTGAACACGTCGGCTCTCTGACAACCCGCGTACAGCGTCAGGGCTGTCGCCACCGTAAAACCGACTACGAAGCTCTTTTTAAACTTGGCGGGCTGGCCACGCTACATTCTCAATCGCAAGTAGATCACTCTGTGCTTTCGTTTCGGCTTCTACGTTTCTGACGGTGCTCGCAACAACATAGTCGTTGCATGCATGCGTTTTTACGGCAGTGTAGCCCATGGCAGCAATCGTGTACTCCATCTTCCCCTTACAGCCCTTTCGATACTTAGAGCAACGATAGACAATCTTCTGCTGCGACGACCATGCACGCACGTACTTGTAACCCTTGAGGTAGTGGCCCGCTTACGACATTAGCACTGGGCTGCAGCTCCGTCTCGGCACCACCTATTTTCTGCGCGTCCTCATCTCTGCCGACCTCCTCCACTCCATCATCCACCCGCTGCCCCGCCGCAGCGCCACTTGTCTCCTCTAGGACACCCACGTCTGCACCTTGAAGCATCTTGCCGAATGAGCGCCCCCCCCCCGCCACTTCGCCACGGCTCTTCATACCTTGCTCTGATCATTAATGAGACAAACATCAGACCAGAAATCAGGCCAGTTCCGTATACAGTACGAACCAATCTAGAGCTAACCGACATACCAGGGCCGACGGTAAGCTTTGTAAAATGGACAGTTGGGATTGAGGCGGTGTTATTTTGTGTATTCTAGAATTATTGTGTAAAGGGATGTTGATGTGCCAGCAGCAAAGAGAGATCTTTATAAACGACAGACTAACAGCATCTTGTCTGTGTCGTCCGAATGGAGTCCTAGTATTATTACAGAATGTTGCAAGAAGGTATGGATGACTTTGAATAACGTGGTAGAAATAGCTATCAATGTATTATTATTTTGAAGTACAATAGAGTCTGCATCGACATGAGAACCGGAATACATGCAACAAGGTACGACAAAATTTGGTATCATCGTAAGCTATCGGCCTAAGTTAACCTCATTGGCTTCGGTGCACAACTAAAAGGATCATAAATCAGGTACCGAACTGACTTACATGGAAACAAACGGGCATCTGGTATAGTGTTTAGGTAAGAGAGCTGACCTCTACTGGGCGCTCTGTGCGGGGTAAGACGGTAGGAACAGGATTATTCACTTTCTTCCATCTCTCGTTTAAGTAAATTTAATATTCTAGAGAGTGGCCGTCCAGTTCGAAGCGCAGCTTGGATTAATTTTTTTAGAGCTTCGTCGGGCAAGGCTCGACTTTGTATTTTGGGCTTCGACCTATACACCACAATTATAAAAGTCAGGGGTACAACTAATAAGTCTGAAGGGTATAGTCTTAGATAGCGTGGCTCTTAGTTCCACCACACAGCGAGCTAACTAGTACATGTAGTCTGCCCTTCTTCCCGCCAATTTGACGGAGCAAAATACGAAGAATTCTCTGAAAGACATTCCATTCTTCTTAACGAGCCTAGAACGGACACCGTCTTGTTCAGAGATCTCCGCTGTTTACAGAGGCGACTTACGCTCTCTTTGCCTTTTTGTTTAGTTCGATAAACTTGTTCCGAAGATGATTAAAGTGCCTGAATTGCTCCGGCGTCAGCGAGTTCACGTACCCTGGGGTGTGTAACGCCTTTGTGTAGCTAAAATGTCTGTCTTTAGCTGCTTTCATGAGTTGCTTCACTTGGTCGGAAGAAAAGGACCTTTCTTCGAGATCATTGTCATCTTCAATGGCCGCGTGGTGGGTCCTCAGCAGTCGACCGCTTGGACCATCAGTAGAAGCCCTGTTGACAGTGTTGACGACGGTCGTTGAAAGCGCGTCGCTGGTAGTCAGGAAGGAAGCCGCAATTAGCGTACAAACCGTCAAGAGACGCATTGGGCCGTTTTTTACAGCTAAACTTCGAGACGGGAGCAAAATCGAAAGTGAGGGCAGATTCCATCAAAACTGTCGTACTCAACGGTAGCCACAAACTGCTCATGCGTCAGTTTTCCTTAATGTTTAGTATCGTTCATTCATACTAGCTCGTGCCTTTTCTACGTAATTTTTCGTCGTTGGATTGTCTCCTGTCTAGCGTCATATTTGACAATGTAATCTGGCGCGGCGTATGTGGACTGTTGTGCTGGCATACCTGGGATGGATACCTGGGATACGTGATACATGTCTATATCTGACGCTAACGTTTGCAAGCAAGCCTGCTGGAGGTATCCGGAAAGACCAAAAACCATTTGTTAACCGATATAAATGGTGTTGCCCCTTATAATGACATCTACCTACTCTCGACTGGAGATTACATTCCGTATCTTATATGGCAAGATATCAGCTATCAGAGTCCCGTTTAAAACAAGATGATGTAAACACATTCAGTAACCTGGTCCAGTCGGTTTGCTGAGTCTAAGCTGAGATGACTCAATAATGCGTTTCAACCTCATTTAGAATGTCAAAAGATTTGAGGGCAATCAACACTTTGTATCCTAAGTGCACGGGTACAGAAAGGCTGATATCGGCTGTTGAATTGCTTTGACCATTCCCAAACTGCATGTGCATTACGTATGCCGGCTTTGATGTCGACACTTTTAATACAAGCATTCCATTGCGGCTAACGGTAGCCGATGGGTTGGTTATTATTTTAAATAAACCTGGGTTAACAGCCGGTTTGATTTCTTGCTTATGGGTTTTAAACCAATAGACCTACCTTGCACAGTACTTGTCATACTAATGTTACCAGTTCCTTTTCATACTTGTACAGCTACTACCTTTACTACTTCTAATACTACTACTACAAGAACAACTACTACTACAGTACTGCACCACGGTGTTGTACTATATAAGATTTGCAAATAAATTATACTTAAGCATACAAATCATAGTAAATTGAATTCAGAGTCATTGCATCCGGAAGCTTTTTAAGGTCCAAAAGCGCGAAAACGGGGTGCAGTACTGTACTGCTATCATATGTTCTCTACTTGCTACATTCCATACTTGTGTGCAACTTGTACTTGTTACTTCGTGGCCTCCATAAGCAGAAGGTGATCGTGAAGCTGGGAGGGAGCTGTCACAGACGCCAAGACTGAATGATGGGCTTCCGCACGTCACTGAAATCCTCTTCGGCAACTTCCACCCTCCTTGTGGCCTCGTATGCTGACGCCTCACCCCGAAAAGTACCATCCAGATCCCCCAGCTTTCTTCAGTATTCCGGATACCATTTGTTGCTCAAAAGGCTGTCGTTTGGTATGTATCTTTATTTTTGCGACGACAGCGTTATGCGCAATAGCGACCTGTTCTTCTACCATCCCATCGCTGAGACGGCTCCTCGATGGATAGTGTATCCACTTTTCAGCTTTGTGATGACGTCCAAGTTGGACTCCAACACCGGAAGTAGAATCAGGAGGCGAGTATACTTTAACCTGAGGGTCTGCCAACACTGGAATCTTGAAGCGCCCTCCCGGTCGTATTTTTGTAGGGTTTGACAGCTTAACTGGCTTCCAAACTTCCGCAATATCTGGCTTGTTCGCGCAAAAAGAGAAACATCAGTTAGAGTTTGTCATTGGATATCTAGTACCATGTAAAAGCCGGGATACCGCCAGTTGGGTGTCATATACGGTAGAGATCAGTTATTGGATCAGACATTCTTACTTTAATAGTGATCAGGTAGATCATTAAGGTTAACTCATCTATTTCGATATCTCCCGGCAAGATATCTCTGAAGCTACCTACTCGCAATTGCTCTTCCTCATTCACCTCGCTTAGGTCATCTTCAGCTTCCGAAGAGCTGTTGGATAATGCTCAACTGCTGGAGGCTCCTCGTCCTCAGCGTCGTCAGCAATGTCATCATGTATCTCAACGTGCGTCGGTATATGTATGCGTCCGCGGGATAAGCGGCGTGCCCGCCCGCGCGGAGCATCAGCAAGGCGCTGAGCATACTGCACCGATATTGTATTGAGGACACCTACGAAGTACGTCATTCTAGGGCGGGGCTTGGGGAAATGGCTGTTGAGCTCCCTGTTAAACGTATCAAAAGGGTTGTTTGCCCGTGCAATGAGCTCGTTGTTTAGGCTGGCAATTTTCCATACGCTCCCGTCGTACATTGCCAGCCACGTTCGATTAAATTACCCCCAGAATCCTCACTACCTGCTTTAGAGTAAAAAATCCCGACCACGCCGCAGCGCTGGCGACTTTCACGTTTTACCCCCTTAATAGCACGCTCTATTAAGCAGTACTCAGCAGCGGTAAGCATGTCGACGACACCGGGGGATATAGTAATACAACACTCCTCCTGTGGAATCGGAAACCGCTTCATAGCTTGTCTCAGAGCCTGCTTAAAATGCAATAGGCATCTGATGACGATTGCATTCGGGAATTGAGTCTGAGCGGCATCCGTTAGCGCGCTCTTGAAGTCGCACTCGACTTCGGCGGCCTCCAGTTGCTGGTCGGTACCTTGTACTTCGAAATGTATCATGTCCCAAAAGGCATCACCACTACGAAAGATGCTCAATACGTAGTAAACAGGTACAAACAGCCCTGAAGCTCTATCATGTACCACGAATATGACGCACTACTGGTAGCCTGGTGGTACACAGCCGAAGGTACAGTCAATAAAAAGAGTAGTTCCATTGTAGCGGAAATGGTTGGCGAGGTTTGGGTGCACTTAGCCGATCAGCCGAGTAGGCTTGTTAAGGTTCTTGCGGTTGCTCGTGACGTAATCAAACTGAAAGAACGATCCGTTTCGTCCAATGCTAATGATAGAGGCTGGAGTTTGATCGCTATGCGTACATCTCCACTGTAATGCCTACTCCGTGCTTGATAAACACGTCGAGGCACTTGGACCTTGGGCAAAGCGTGTTCATGGCATACGCCGTAAAACGCGCTGCGCAGCTCTTCCCAAATACGTCGTGCAGGCCACCCCGGTCGATAGTGAGCATGTCTGCTCTGGCCTTCATCGCTTCCGTGACATCAGCAAGGCTTCTGCTAGCAGCATCAACGCGGCGACAGGTGTGGAAACGCCCAACTGGGTAGCCCATTGTATCAATGAAGAGCGCTATTGTACCAAGCCAGCCTTGGCGCCAATGACAGCAGCTGTAGGATATCTTCCTCGACGATGCCCACGCCCTGGTATGCTTGAAGCTGCAAAAATAGCACGTGGTCTTCTCTTGGTATCATTGGCCCCTGGGGGTGGCTTGACATAGCGTTGGCCACCCCAGCGCCGTCTATAGACTCGGCGTTACCCGGGGAAGGCTGTTCAGGTGCATGCATGCTACCGAATAGACCCTTTTCACAGGTGCCCCGCAGAAATCCCCATTCCACGTAGCCTTTTTAGGGCCATGCATTTTCATATCTTGCATCAGATCATTGCAGAATCAACATATGTACAAACCCTGATCTGTACCGTATATGGCCCCAGCAAGGTTTTATCTTTTGAACTTGGTTATCTTCTCGTGGTTTGCAAGTACATACACCACTAAGTAGCTTGAGAGTACAGAAGAGCAAACGATGGGCACAATCCTTTTACACACAGTAGAATTGGAATCACCGGGGCCACGTCGGAACATCGAGTCCGTTAAAGAAATGCATCACTCTTTAGGTGAGTAGTCAGGCGTTAGGCGACCAATGACGAGTAACCAGTCGAATTTGACATACATGTGACTGCAGCGTTCTGGAACTGCAATGGGACCTCATACTTCCCCGAAACCTACAGTTACCCTCATGGCGATTTATCACTTCGGTACCTCGATCATCATTGTGTGGGCTCAAACACTGAAGCCCAACAGTACAATGATACTGACGAAACTGGTTCTTACTCAGAGGCTCGTCGGTGCGTCCGCAGGCATGATCTTCAATGCAAGATGCTTAACCGAGCTGAGATTGCGGGAAACGTAGTCAATCACCTTGTAGACGTCTAGATCCAGACATAGCGTTCGTGATGGCCACTTGAGCGAGTCATTACTGAGATTGTAGCTTCATTATCATATCGTACTACTGACGCCACGTCTACTGGAACATTCAACTCAGTAAGCAAGTTATGTAGCCACCGCACATAATCTGCATAAATGCTAACAGCAGTCAATTCGGCACTACAAGCAGCAGACTTTGGTAAGCAACCCCGAATACATTTATCTTAGCGATGTCTCCAATGACGGGCCTTATAGTATCTTGATCATTTCCAAGATCAGTAACTGTAAATTCAACAAATCTCATTGCAGTGGCCTCTACTTTGCGAAATATACACCCATATGATGTTCCCTCCGGTATGCTATGACCCGTTTTGCCATTTCAAAGTGATTTCAGTGTAGCAGTTCATGTAGTACTTAGATAGCACTATGGCAGCATTCACAATATCTGAGCGATTGCAGCGAACTAGATAAGTCAAAGACTCAACCATTTGCCTATAAGGCAAGTCTTTCCGATCGAATGTTTTACTATACGGCTATACCGGACTAGCCGGTTTGTCCTTCATTTATATTGGACGCAAGCAATGCCAATATCCGCAGAGATCTAACGGCTTGAGAGGATACTGAATGTACGCCTCCTGTGAAAATACCACAACATTCGACTGTACGTCCAGGTCCATGGCAAGTAAGTCACTGACGAACATCTTTGAGCTTGGATTACTTGTTCAGCTCTCCCATCAACCAACTTGCTACGTCCAGTTAAATTCTATCAGCAATAACATTTGCTTTGAATTCAAGCTGCACCAAAAATCTTTAACGTGGCATGCCAGATTAAAGGTGCTTGGTTTAACTATAAAACGGATTGCTGTCGTAGCCAGACACAACCACTGTCATCATTGAACGGCCTGGGCTGCTTCATGTACACTTTGACGTCTATGGCTCCGCTTTTTAAGGGCGTTGTGAAGTCAATGTGGTAGCAGTGGAAATTAA